GCCCTAAAGCCCGCAAGCCCTGAACCCTGAGCTCTACATTCCCAGGTGCAGCAAAGTCAGGCCCTACGGTAGATCGGCATGTTCCAAGGACTAGACCGGGCAGCCAGGCTAAACCCTAAACCCTAAAACCTCTAAACCCTAAACCCTAACAGAGGCTCCAACAGCATCTTTGTACTGCTAAGCTCAAAGGCGCCAAATTTCGGCATGTGGGGCTGCAAGCGAGGAGCTTACCTAACCTAACCTGAAACCCTAAAACCCGTTGGCATGTTGGGGTTAAGTGTTCAAGATTAGGGCTTGCATCATCCCACAGATGCTGGTGAACCGCTCCAATGAACATGTGGAACCTAGACCCTAATTATGAGCCCCACCCGAAACCCTAGACCCATAACCCTGCAGCAATTAGGCCTCCAAGCCCCCTTCTGATTATTAGGGCCCCGACGCGAAATGTGTTTGGGATCATAGGATCCCGACCCCCAAAAACTCCAAACTAGGGGCCCTTTTAGGATCCTTTTGACAAGGGTGGCGTACTATGTTGCGGACCCTAGAGCGGACCCTAGTTTAGAGAACTACCCAAAAAACTATGTACTTTGACGGCTTAGGGTTTACGGTTTGGGGTTTGGGGTTTAGCCTTGAAGTCCCTACATAGGTATTTGGGGGCCATATGCTGTTTGGGTACATGGACCCTCAAGGAATCATATTTGGTGGCTCTGAAGCAATAGCTTCATGTTCAAGATCTTGGAGGAGGTTTTATTGAAACATCGCTTCTTCAGTATGAGGTGTTTATAGGTTGTAAGGGTTTCGGGTTATAAGTAAGGTACAACCTGACCTGTTGCAGTTGAGGGGTAGCTGTGTTCAGGATCCAGCAGGTAGCTCTGATTCTGTTGTCTCAGTTCTCTACAATGCATTCGGACTTTCGAGAAGTGCCTACATGCATGTTGTACAGCTCTTTTGTGGCAGACATGTGTTTGCCTCGCCCTGCAGACAGAGCCTGATTGAAACCCTAAACCCTAGACCCTAAACCCTAAACCCTAAACCCTAGACCCTAAACCCTAAACCCTAAACCCCAAAACCCTAAACCGAGTGAGCACGAGTTGCAACCCGTTAAGTCTAAAGAAACAGCTTCAGCAAGGCAGAGCTGTGTTATGAATAGAAAATTGCACATATTATACTGTACTATATATACATATATCATTTTTTAGATTAGACTGTATGGTATTTATATAGTGTAGATCGTATGGTATTTATATCGTGTATATTGCCGAAGCACTCACAGAAGTCTGCAAAACTTCAACTGGGCCAGAGCTGCAGGTTGCTTGTCGCATAGTTCAAGGAGAACTCCTGTAAAGTGCGGTTGGTTGGGGGTGGAGGGCACCCCCATTCCTGTACTGTAGGGGCCTTAATGATTCCCTATACCATTTTTTTTGGGGGGGGCCCCACCCTGCGCCGCCGCTTGTTCCGTTCGAGCATCCGTCGAGACATCCTCGGCCACCGACCCTGTGATATAGGGGCCTTAATGAATTAGAATAGGGTTCCTTTAAAGGGTTCCTTGAAACGGGGTTCTATAAGGGATCTAGAATAGGGTTCTACAGCATAAGGGCCTAAATAATTAGAATAGGGTTGTGGGGTATATAATACTATAAACCTAATAAGGAAGGGTTTGAGCATCGAGCCGACGCTAAGCCTAAGACCAACTCTGCCTTAAAACCCTATGCCCTAAGGGTCCAAGTAGCTAACAATCATATACTCTTCTGAATACTAACCTACAAAGCCACTATCCGTAAGCCAAGTGCATGATTATTAGGTCCTTTGGACCCTTAGGGCCATGCCCTAAACCCTTAAACCCTAAGATATAAACGCTCTTCCCAAGAAGCTCAATCATAAATCCCTCCCTCCGTCTGTGTGCTTGAGGTTTTGAGCTCTGCGCTCCTCCTAGAAACACACGGGCTCCAGATTTGGGTTAGGAGTTGAGTGTTCGGGTGCAAGAGTGAAGGTTCAGAGATTTAAGCAGGTTTAGGGTCTACAGTCTACCCAGAGGCCCTAAAGTAGTTCCTTTTTGGGATTACCTTATAGGATTCTATATATAACCCCAACAAGGGCCTATGGGTACAGTCACAGTCTCTAGGTGTCAGTGCCGGGCTCGGGGTTTGGGTCTGTAGTGTTGCAAAGTCTCGTCGGGATGCAGTGATTAGTATGGGGCCTAGCCTAGTAGAGCAAACATTTGCTGTATCCTGCGCTTTCAGAAAGTTAGGTAAACCTGTAGACTTTAACTTCCATGCAATGGCCACAATGCCGCGGGGCTGTTTCCTTAAAGCCTTCTCGGTGGATTGTCTGCCGAACCTTGCAGAACATCCCGTCTTCTGTGACAATTGTCATCGAGTTCAGGGTTTCGTGAGTTCTCATACGGGTTTAGGGTTTATGGTTTTGGGGTTCAGGGGTTTAGAGTTTAGGGGCACTCTACACCCAAAGTGCCCCAAGACCAGTGCCTTCATGTCGGAACGACAGCGCGCTGCCCCGGTGTTTGCCTCTCAACAGATGCAGCGGTAGCACTTTGGAGTTGCGGGTGGGGGTGGTCTGCACCACGCCCCACCTCAACTAGCTCAAGCCCCAAACCCTCAACCGCAAAGTTCCTGAGACCGGCCCAGACCCTGAAAGCACTCAGTCTCCCTGAACGGTTTAGGGTTTAGGGTTTAGGGTTTAGGGTTTAGGGTTTAGGGTCGATACACCATGTCTGGAACTCTATATCTGCTCTTGGCTGTCACAACACCTGCATACCGGCTATGAGGAGCATAGGCCTCTTTGAGGGGTAGTCGTCCTACCACCCTTTGAATGTGCCATGCTCCCCGCTCTGCAGAATCCGCACTTCATCCGTCTCCTCGGAACATGTTGTGGCTTGGCAGTCAGGAGAGTGTAAAGGACGTATCGTGTGGTTTTGGGCTTCCGGTTCATTGCTTTGGGCTTTGGGGTCCATTGAGGGCGCAAGTGCAAGCTTGCAACATCTGCAACCCTTCACTCTATGTTACTATATGCAGGAAACAGTATCCTTAATATTCTGGTATCGGATGGCATCGTCTACTCGGTGAAATATCGAATTCTGCTCTCCTACGAAACGGTTCGCCTTGTGTGCACCGTGATTCAACAGGTCTTGGCATTTAACGCGGACATTAGGGTTTAGGGTTTAGGGCTCTGTCAGTATCTCTTAGTTCACCCACAGTCTCCATTGAATCCGTGTGCGTCGGAGCGCTCGGGTCTAGGCTTCTTTAATATCCTAAATTATATTGAGTCATGTTGGACCATATCACACTATACTAACTTTGCTATGCTCTATCATATTAAATTGGATACTATATAGTATATGTTAGATTAGACTTTGTCTTATCGGTGCTTAGGTTGTATCTTATTTTTTGATATCTTATGTTGAGTTATGTTATACCATCTTATTCTGTTCTTACGTGTATAGAGTTACCATTCTCTGTTATATTGCGTTTCCATAGTTTGTTGTATTGTCTTTATGTTATAACTTACTATATGTTATTATAGCATACTCTACTATATCATATTGTAGCATGTTTTGCTCGGTCATATGTTACAGTATGTTTGCATTATTTTGTGTTATATGGATTTAGGTTATACACTATTATGTTGTTTTACGGTGAATTTTCTATGATATTTCATATTATCGTGTTTGATTGGGCCTGTTTTCCATAGTCATCTCATGTTCTACCATGTTATGATATCATGGGTTATGTTATATTATCTCACATTGTCTTACATCATCTTGTATGTATATATATATATATATACACACACTTCATCAGACCTAAACCCTAAACTCTAAACCCTAAACCCCTACAGCCCGAATCCCTCAACCCGAGCTTTTGCCCCAAACCCGATCTCCAAAGCAGCTCAGATCGGGGTTTAGGGTTTAGGGGACCTAAATAGCAGGCCTGCTGCTGGCGATGGGAATCATGGGAATGGTGGCATTTGTCATGCCAGATCACCTCCCGCTTCTTCGAGCAATTCGAGTATAATATAGTGTATAGTAAAAGCCAGAAAGTTGGAACATCACTATCCTTATGCCAAACCCATGTTCCAAATTTCTGGCGTTCACTGTAGTATATTATGGCAGATTGGAATATCATGTAATATTTTTATAGTAAGTTATAGCATGGTATAGTATTTTTTGGAGGGGGAGGGGGGGGGGGGGGGGGNNGAAAAAGTGCGTAGAGCAGTCCACCAGGCAGGGGCGGGGTTCAGAATTTTGGCCCGGGGTTTAGGGTTTGGGGGTTTAGGTTTAGGGTTTGGAGTACTTGGGGTTTAGGTTTTGGAGCACCGGTTTGCCTTCCAGTTGCTCTCGAATTTGTCGCTTTGGGGTGTCGTGGGCAGGCGGACAGACACTTGAAACGTTCCTGACATGAGCCAATGAAGATGCGCAGAAGCCTTCCTGTCCGCTGAGCCAAGCAGGATTCCTATCTGTTAACAAGGAATATACCTTAAACCTTATGAGGGATGCTACTATAATTTAAGGTATATTCCTTAATTTAGGGGTATTGGAGTCTTAACGCCATGAGAGATCCCTGACTGGCAATTGCTTGCATCATTGGTACTGGTGGAGGGCACCTGAGGTACCAGTTTGAACACTTCAAGCAGTTCGCAAAAGGCTGTCTTAAGCAGACAGTAGACAGATAGCCGGAATAACGGGAATGCGACGTGGCATTAGTGTGCTGTAGTTGTGACAATAGGAGAGCTTGCAGAGGGGAGCAGAACAGAATGATGGTTACTGCAATAACGAACACGAAGGCAACGGGAAGTCTTTGCTGCTCTGCAATGCAACGCAAGCCCGACCACTTCTTCATCGAAATGAAGGACATGGACACAGCAGAGCACAAAGTTGTCCCAAATGAACGAAAGATATCCAACCAGTTGGATTCAGCAGCGAGGCTTTGTAGAGAGGCCAACGGGTTTCCAGTGGGCGGTTAGGAGGGATCGCATTTTGATGCCAGGTCCCCAGATGTGGTTGCGCTATGGGTGCTACCACCCTGCTGCCTTTTGATCTCTGTCTTTTACGCCTTCTACCTCGGAGCACACCCTCTCGATCCACTCCTGGAGCCGCCGCGACCGCGGCAAGTTCAAGCGCAGCACTGGATGGTTTGGGCTCCCACTGTTTATGGAAAGCTTGAGGCGACTTCCGACAGGCGGGCGACACCCACCAGGGTTTAGGGTTTAGAGTTTAGGGTTTAGGGGCCCACCACCCACCCTCCCACCCACCCATCCATCCATGCATCCATCCCTCCATGCATGTGTCTACCATTATAGTTCTATCTGTCTGTCTGTGTGTCTAACTGTCTGTCTATGTACTTATCTCAGCTCGCTCTATCTAGCTATCCAGGTTTCCATCTATCAATCTACCCATCTACCCATCTATCCATCTATCTTGTTGTCCATCTATCTTTCTTTCTATCTGTCTATGTACCTACTTATCTGCATAGCTATCTATCCATCTAGTGAACTAGCTATCCACAATCTACGTATACACGTATATCTGTCTAACTATCTATCTACCGGTCTGTTTATCTAACTAGCCATATGACTAGCTGATGATCTGTCTACATATCTAGATTGATACCTACTTATCTATCTGTCCGTCTACCTTCCTATATATCGGTCCTTTCGATCGGCAAGTCTCTATGGGTGCCTGTGGGTTCATGCATGCATGACTGCATGTTTGTGTGTACGTATGCCACGGCATGCGACCATGGCATTGGCCAGTAGTTTTCTAAATTAGGGTCTCTTTTGGGGGGTCCTTTTATAAGGGTGCCGTACTATATTGGGGACCTAAAAAGGGACCCTAATTTAGAGAACTACTCATATTCATGGTCATTGCTAGTGTGGTGTGGTGTGGTGTGGCATGGCATGACATGGCACGGTTCAGTGTGGTACGGTTTGGTAGTGTAGGGTCGGGTGTGGTAGGGCATGTAAAGAGGTGTGAGAGTCAGGTTGTATGACGTTGTATGTAAGGGTGTAAGGATGCAAAGTTGCATGCATGTATGCGTGTAAGCAAGTATGCATGTATGCATGCTGTATGACCGGAAAGCAGTAGCACTCGTAAGAGTTAGCAGGAGCAGTACTACTGTGGCCCATACCGCTGTGGCGCGTGCTGTCGTTCTGTATGTAGAATGTCTTCACTGAATGCAACATTGCTGCCTGGGGCAGGTTGAACTTCCGCTGCTACAACACAAGTGGCCTCAACCAGATCCGACACTTTGACTACGCACTGGAGGTGCTCGTCTTTGGGGGTTGCAGGTTACGATTCCGAATTGTGCCGTTGATTGGGGGGCTGCATGGTGATCTGCATCTTCTTACAAAATCCGCCCCAAAACCTGGGCCCATCAAGCCCCAAACTGTAGACCATTGTTGTAGGGTCGGAAAAAGCTGTACTCTATGTCCCTTGCTGTCCTCACTACAAGTAGTTCAATATGTGGTCAAGAACCCCCAAACCCCAATTATTGTTAAACAACAGTTCTAAACGAAACCCTTACGCACTTCCCGAAGTTCTATGCGCAAAACCCAAACTTGCACATCCTTGAATCCCAACGTGCAGATGCCTTCCTACCCGAACCCTCTTATATATATATATATACATAGATGTACAGATATCGTAAATTGCATCATACGTATCCATATAATCCACAACTGTATGTTATTTATGTATATACGAACAGATTGCAAGCTTTTTAACTGTTACATGGAACAGCTCCTTTCTGAACCTTGTAACACCCCCAAAGATTTGAAAGTTCAAACAGGTCGAGGCGCAATCCCTGGCGGTGTCCACACAGACTTGCATCTGCTGCCTGGAGGACCAGCACTCGCTCCGGCAGGGTGTTGGGGTAGAGTTCTTTCAGGGTTTAGAGTTATTTTAGGCTTCGGGTTTAGAGTTCTTCAATTAGGATGTTGACCAGGATTTTCATGACAGCAAGAAGGTTACATTATTTATGATTTTAAAGTTTGTTGGTCTAGGGTAAGCTACGGCTCGGGTCTTGGGCTTGAGGTTTCCGACGTAGGTAGGCGGTGTTGAAGCCATGGTGAGTCCCCAAGCCAGTTTTGGTGTAAAGTCGATTTCCTTCGTATTTCGGCTATGTTTGCTCTTCGAGCCGTTTAACTACCCTAAACCCTAAACCCTAAAACCCTAAACCCTAAACCCATAGAATCCCTAAGCCCGAATCCCTAAGCCACAAGCCCCTACAGCTCAACAGCCGTAAGGCCTAAACTCGCAAGCCTGCCAGCAGCACAAAGCCCCAGCAGCCACGAAGTAGCTTCAACCCCATTCCCGGAAGCAAGGGTACCATAAGGGTCAAGGGTATAAGGGTGTAGGTACCCAAAAAGTGTATACTTTGGCTGCAAAGTACTTGTATAGGGACTAGTTTAGGGCCTTTTGTTTTTTCGTTGCAATCACTGCGCCTAGCGCGGCTAGTTTATGGCCAATGTATACACTAGTTAGGTACATGGGCCCTTATACCCTAAACCCTTATGGTACCCTTATAGAACCCTTAACGGAACCCTTAAAGGGACCCGTAAAGGACCGTCTAGAGGACGTTTAGGGTCAAGCCTTTCATCCTGACTGATATCCTGCCCCGCAAAGTTTGGCATTCAAACCCCGACTCCCCAAGTTTAGGGTTTAGGGTT